CAGCAGTGGGCAGGGGGCAGGGGGCAGGGGGCAGGGGGCAGGGGGCAGGGGGCAGGGGGCAGGGGGCAGGGGGCAGGGGGCAGGGGGGATAGGGCAGTGGGCGGTGGGCAGTGGGCTGTGGGCGCCAGTGTGGCATACCTGTACCACCCACCTGCTCTCCCCTTCTTTCCCCTCCTCCTCCTCCACTCTCCCCCACCGCCGCCTTTCCTCCCGCGTCTCCTCCCCCTTCCACCGCCCTCCGATTCCCCTTGCCCCTTTCCAGAGCAGCAGCGGGCAACCGGTACATCAAGGCAGTGGGCGGCCCGTTCACCCGCCACCTGGGCGCAGCCAGCGGCATGGCACCGCGCGCACGCATCGCCGTGTACAAGGTCGTGTGGCGCACACAGCTCGTGCCAGGAGTCAGCGGCGTGGACAGGCCAGGGGGAGTGGCATCACTGGTGGACGTGGAAGCAGCAGTGGACTTCGCCATTCAGGATAACATCGATGTGCTGCTCGTGCCGCTCAGCGCTGGGTTCAGCCCCACCGCATCCTACTTCGACCATGTGCCCTACCTCAACGCCTTTGAGGTGCGCTCACTGTAGGGTCTGGTTGGGGTGGAGGGGAGTGTGTGGGGGGGAGAATGCGTGGGGTGTTTCTGGCTGGCATGCCGCTGGGTGCTTCGCGCCTGCTGCTTGGCGGGGACAGGCCGGGGGGAGTGGCGTGGATGGTGGACGTGAAGGCAGTAGCGGGAGGTGAACCTAGGTGGGGATGGGTTCAGCTCGACTGCATCCTACTTTGACCATGTTTCCTACCCTCAACGCCTTTCAGGTGCGTGCAACGGCTGCTTGCAGTGGAATGTATGTAAGTCGGTATGATGCAGTGGGTCACTTCTGGCTGGGATATTGCTGGTTACGTTGCGCCTCATGCCCTGTCACCAACTCTGTTTCTCGCTAGAAGCGCGGAGTTTCTGGGCTTGCAGGTTTTTTTTTTTTTTTTTCCCATTCGGTTTGTTTCCTCAGTGAACACCAAGCAGCGATCCTGCAGAGCACAGGCAGAACCGCACTGTTGTGCTGCATTGCATGCGATTATCGCAGCACCCCCATACACTGCTTCTCTTTCTGCTAGGTGGGCTCAACCCTCGAGTTCCCATTGCGCCTCCATCCTCCCCCGCTCATCTTTCCGGGATGCTTCAAATGGCGCACAGCAGAGCCACGCATCACGCACGCCTGCTTGTGACAGACAGACTTGCCCGCTCCCAACACACCTTTCTGGGTTGCGGGGCTAGCACTGCGGTGTTAAGGTGGGTGGGGTAAGCGTTACACTGTGAGCGTCGCAGTGTTAAGGGAGGAAAGCGTCGGCAGTGGTGCCATGGCACTGCATTTCCTCCTCCTGTCCCGTGTGTGTATGCGCACCCCCCAGGGTGGAGTGACGGTGGTGAAGCCAGCGGGTAACCGTGGGCTCATGCTGGGGGTGCGCACCATTGAGAACTACTCGCCCTTCTACCTCACTGTCGGCGCCAGGTGCCCCCTCATGCCCTTTTCACACACATGTCCCCATCCTGCTGTGAACTCAGGCCGCTTGCTTTCAGCTCTCTCCCCCCCCCTCTCTCTCTCTCTCTCTCTCTCTCTCTCTCTCTCTCTCTCTCTCTCTCTCTCTCTCTCTCTCTCTCTCTCTCTCTCTCTCTCTCTCTCTCTCTCTCTCTCTCTCTGAAAAGCTACCCATTCGCTTTTTGACTGCCCTCTTCCCCACGTCCATTTCTGTTCCCGTTTCAGACCTCTGCCACTATGTGTGCCTCTGTGTGCCTCTGTGCGCCTCTGTGCGCCTCTGTGCTCCTGTTTCCTCGCTGCATGCACATGCGTGTTTGATGCCCCCCATGCCCCCCATGCACACCATGCACGTGCATCACGGCAGCTCCATAAGCCGGTCGCTGTCCATGGACGGTGCACGCATCCAAGGATACTTCTCATCTGCCGCCACCACCACCTCCCAACACCAACTCGCCTCCACCCCCTCCTCCTCCTCCACCCCCTCGTCCTCCTCCACATCCTCGCCTGGCAACGCGTCTCTCTCCTCCGCCACCACCACGCGCAGGCGCCAGCATGCGTCAGTAGCAGCCCTGGCGAGCACAGTGGAGGGCGTGCGGCTCACAGGCGACTGGTCGCGCGCGCAGTTCCACCCCATGGCACCCGCTGCCTCTGCTGCTCTCTCCGCTGCTGCCAGAAAGAAGGTGAGGCGCTGGGATGCATGAGGTGGGATGCATAAGGTGGGATGCATGAGGTGGGATGCATGAGGTGGGATGCATGAGGTGGGATGCATGAGATGGGATGCATGAGATTGGATGCATGAGATTGGATGCAGGAAATGGGATGCATGAGATGGGATGCATGAGATGGGATGCGTGAGATGGGATGCATGAGGTGGGATGCATGAGATGGGATGCATGAGATGGGATGCATGAGGTGGGATGCATGAGATGGGATGCATGAGATGGGATGCATGAGATGGGATGCATGAGATGGGATGCATGAGGTGGGATGCATGAGATGGGATGCATGAGATGGGATGCATGAAATGGGATGCATGAGATTGGATGCATGAGATGGGATGCATGAGATTGGATGCAGGAAATGGGATGCATGAGGTGGGATGCATGAGATGGGATGCATGAGATGGGATGCATGAGGTGGGATGCATGAGATGGGATGCTTGAGATGGGATGCATGAGATGGGATGCATGAGGTGGGATGCATGAGATGGGATGCATGAGATGGGATGCATGAGATGGGATGCATGAGATTGGATGCATGAGATGGGATGCATGAGATGGGATGCATGAGATGGGATGCATGAGGTGGGATGCATGAGGTGGGATGCATGAGATGGGACGCATGAGGTGGGATGCATGAGGTGGGATGCATGGTGAAATTCACGGCATGTGGTTCGCGGCATGGGAATCACTGCGTGGGAATCGTGTCTGAGGGACCGGGGCTGGCTCGTGGTCCTGCTCGCTCGGCACAACTGTCATCATCGAACGCTGATCCCACTCATACAGGTCAATCGGTCCTCACATGCCACACCTCGGTCCTCGCCCTCCTTCCATCCCCCCTCCCTTCCTCTTGTCACTGTGCCTGCCCGAGTGACTGAACCCACACCGGTGATGCTCAAAGGTGATGGGCAAGGTGCTGATGTGCGGCTATGCAATGAACCACCAGACTCACTCACACCTCTCCCGATGATCCCTTTCCATCTTGACTCCCCTCAGGCATCCCAGTGCATGCCCGGGTCACTCAACCCGCTGCTGGCGCTAGGCAAGGTGCTGGTGTGCGGCCCTGGAGGCACCACCCCACAAAAGAAGATCGCTGCTGCGGCCAGAGCAGGGGCACGGGGCGTCGTGCTCACTTCTGCCGATGCTGACGGAGGGGAGGAGGATGAGGATGAAGGGGGCGGGGGTGTGGAGGTGGGAATGGGGGAAGACAGGGGTAGTGGGGAGGGGAGTGGGAGTGGTGGGTTGGGCGGTGAGGGTGGTGGGGCGAGTGGTGGGGCGAATGGGGCAAATTCAACCGGAGGTGGGTCGGGAGACAGCCTTCGAGGACGAAGCACAGTGGAGGCTGTTGGGGGAGCAGCTGGAGGGGCAAGAGACATGGCCGCAGCAGGAGGCGGCTTGCCTGTGATGGAGCTAAATGCAGAGACGTCAGCACTGCTTGGCATACGACTGCAAGGACTCATCAACCTGTGAGGCACCACCTCCCTCACTCACCTCACTCACTCACCTCCCCCACTCACCTCCCTCACTCACCTCCCTCACACACCTCACTCACTCACCTCCCTCACCTCCTTGCTCCCCATCGTCCGTCCACTTTCCATGTCCTTAGTCGACTCAATAGAAGGGACCCGTGCTGCTACCCACCTCTCCCTTGCAACCGGTCCATCCCCGGCCATCACCAACATCATCCCCGTCAACAATCCTCGTGTCCCGTCAACAAAACTCGTGTCATATCAACAAAAGTCGTGTTCTTCTCCTCCTCTCCGCTCTCCCTCACTCCGCCTCATTCCAACCCGCATCATCTCTGCTCCACCTCACCCGCACCTTCTCGCCCGTCTATCCTGCTCCCTTCATCCTCTTCCCAACCTCACAGCCCTTCCCCCGCCCTTCCCCCGCCCTTCCCCCGCCCTTCCCCCGCCCTTCCCCCGCCCTTCCCCCGCCCTTTCCCCTCTCCTTCCACGCCAGCTTCAGCCCGTTGCTCTGGTTACGTTTCCTCCAACCTCTCCGCCCGCCCGTCATCGACTCCACCTCTTCCACCGGCCCGGTAGCCCTCCCCCTCGCGCGCCCAGGAGGCTCGCAGCCCACCAACGACCTCTTAAAGCCCGACCTCATCGCGCCCGGTGTCATGCTGTGGGCCGCCGCTCCTGGCGGTGCCCGCACCAACCGCTTCCGCCGCCTCTCTGGCACCTCCATGGCTGCTGCTCACGTGGCGGGCGTGCTAGCGCTCGTGATCCAGGAGAACCCCACCTGGCTACCCGGGAGAGTCATGTCTGCTGTCTTAACCACGGCGAAGCCCACGAATGTGTATGGCCGGCCGATAAGGCTGTGGAACGGGCTTCAGGCGGATCCTTGGATGATGGGGTCTGGCCATGTGAACCCCTCCAAGGTGCTCAATCCTGGCCTCTCATTTGACCTCCTAGCCGCAGATTTCAAGAACTTGCTCGCCGGGCAGAACCCGAAACGGACGGCCAAGATCTTCCCGACGGCGACTCTGGAGCCGATCGATGCGATCCAGCTGAACCGGCCGTCCATCGCCATCTCGCACTGTGCTGGGACCGTGACGGTGGCACGGACTGTTACCAACGTGGGCACCTTTCCCGCTACCTTTGTTGCCAAGGTGAAGCCTCCATTTCTGACGATTGTTGAGGTGGTGCCTCCGAGAATCACGCTGTCTCCTGGCGACTCGTACCGCTTCCTTGTCAGCATCTCGGGGTTGGTTCCACGCCCCAGATGGAATTTCGTGTATGGGGCTATTGTGTTTAAGGATAACTATGGGCGCAAAGTGCGGATTCCTATTACTGTGCAGCCCTCGTTATTGTAATTGTCTTTACATGTATGATGTATAAGTATGTTAGTAGAAATCGTAGTTGCTATGCCCTTATCAACTGTGCATATCTTGAGCATACTGCAAGCTGGTGCCTTTGAAGCATTTTGTAGAGTCAGTATCAAGTTTGGCCATAGCATGGTACAGTTCTTGGTATGGTACCGGTATTACTTCGCACCTGCGCCCTCTCCCAATGCCATTCTGTTTCCTTCCATAATGCCACACGCACTACAACGACATCATGTGATCGACTATACAGAAGCACAGTACAGCATGTGATGTGAGTGGTATGTAGGTTGCCTCCCGCTCTACAAGTACCGTATGCGCCACCGCTTCAAGTCACCTACCGTTCAGGTAAAAATGCCGTGTCCTGAATCTTGAGCTGGCACCGTGTAGATTGCAGGAACTGGTACAAATCTACGGTAGGTATGTGCAAAGAATCTATTCTTGAGATGCCACCAAAAATGGATTGCTTGTCTCGGGTGTTCCACCTAAGCACCCCTGCTATGGAGTCCCACCTTCTTCACGTCCCCTTCTCCCCCTTCTCCTCCCCCCCCTCCCAACTCCCCACCACCTGCACCCCTCTCTAACTCACCCATCCCTCCACCTGCACCCTCCACGCCTCCACCTCCATCCCGCCATCACCACTTGATATACCGCAGCGGCTGCACTGCAATGGGCGAGCGCACCACATGCCCGAGCTCATCCCGCCACGTCAAGCTGCCATAATGAAACTGCAGCGACTTGGCATTCACCCACACCGACACCGTGAACGTCACTCTTTCCCCCGGTGCGATCGTAAACTGCTTTGGGTTCACCATCATCACGACCCCGTACGGGCACACGATCTTCCCCGTGTACATGCTCGTGGTGGACGCCACGTTGGTCACCGTGCGCCGCACCTTGCGGTACCCCTTCATGCGCCCGATGGAGATGCTCGCGCGGTTCACGTTGCGCGGGGCGACTCTTTTGAGGGTCGCGCCGGGGAAGAACTTCTTCGCGCGCCACATGCTCTGCCCGGCGAGGAAGTTCCGGTAGTGGCTCTCCCCTGCGTCGTACGTCAACCCGGGGTCAAGCACCCTCGGGGGATGCACATGCCCTGCTCCTACCTCCCAAGGCGTCGCCGTCCGGCCCCCCACATTCCGGATAAACCTCCCTCTCGTGTTCCTCACCGCAGCGGTGGTCATAATCGCGGACATGACCTGCGCGGGGGACCAGTCGGGCTTCTGCTGCACGATGAGCGCTGCCACGCCCGCGAGGTGAGGCGTCGCCATGGACGTCCCGGAGAGCTGCGCGAGGCCTGCTGCGTCGCCGATGGTGGTGGCGGGCATGGCGGCCCAGAGGGCAACGCCGGGACCAATGATGTCGGGCTTGAGGATGGAGTTGGTGGGGTAGGGCGGTGCTGTGCCCTTGATGGGGCGGATGAGGGGGCCGCGCGAGGAGAAGCCCGCTACCATTGGCGCTGCTATGGATGCTGTGTCTACGGCTGCTGGCTGGGCTCGTTGTGATGGTGATAAAGATGATGCTGATGGCAGGGTCGTGGTGTTGGTTGAACTGGTTGGAGAGGGATGGGGAGATGGGGGAAAGGGGGGATGCAGTGTGGTGAGCTCACGGTAGCAATACACATGTACTAATTTGTGACAGGGTGCGGGAGGAAAACGGGAGAGAGAAAAGGGAACGAGGAAGACGATGCACCAACGAACTGGATGCATGATGGAGTGGGAGTAGTGACAGGCATGACCCTGTCCTCACCTGTCACTGCTAGTGGCAGAAACCGGCGCTCTTCCTGTGGCGTTGAGAGCAGCCCCCTTCACAGATGCCGCTCCCAGCACTACCCCGCCCCGTTCAATGGTGCTGCGCAGGGTCACGCACACACGCGATGTGGGACACAGGGCACGTGATGAAAGGGGGCAGGAGGATGGCGGAGATAAGAAGTGGGCCAGGCAAAGCTTCTCATTGCCATGACTCGTGTGGCACATTTGCGGCACTTGGCAGGAAAGAAACAGACCGGTGGACCTTTCGGGACTTTTGAGGCACCTCAGAATTCGCAGCAAGCAAGTAATTCACCGGTGGGCCGTTGTGGAGGCACATGCAGGGAAGGGAAGAAATGGCTGGTGGCTGGCTGCGAGCTACTGCGTGCTTGAAAGGACTCCTTTTGACCAGCCACCTCTTCTGTCCTCGCTTATTCCATCCTCATCTGTTCTGCGCCACTGCTATTCAACCCACGTGCCATTGCTATCCCACCCACGTGCCATTGCTATCCCACCCGCGCGCCATTGCTATCCCACCCACGCGCCATTGCTATCCCACCCACGTGCCATTGCTATCCCACCCACGCGCCATTGCTATCCCACCCACGTGCCATTGCTATCCCACCCACGCGCCATTGCTATCCCACCCACGCGCCATTGCTATCCCACCCACGCGCCATTGCTATCCCACCCACGCGCCATTGCTATCCCACCCACGCGCCATTGCTATCCCACCCACGCGCCATTGCTATCCCACCCACGCGCCATTGCTATGCCACCCACGCGCCATTGCTATCCCACCCATGCGCCATTGCTATCCCACCCATGCGCCATTGCTATCCCACCCACGCGCCATTGCTATCCCACCCACGCGCCATTGCTATCCCACCCACGCGCCATTGCTATCCCACCCACGCGCCATTGCTATCCCACCCACGCGCCATTGCTATCCCACCCACCCACGCGCCATTGCTATCCCACCCACGCGCCATTGCTATCCCACCCACGCGCCATTGCTATCCCACCCACGCGCCATTGCTATCCCACCCACGCGCCATTGCCCACCCACCCACGCGCCATTGCTATCCCACCCACGCGCCATTGCTATCCCACCCACGCGCCATTGCTATCCCACCCACGCGCCATTGCTATCCCACCCTCATGGCAGTGCAGCCCACCTGGCGCCAACAGTGAGGTAGAAGGGCGAGAAGTTGTCAATGGAGCGGTACAGCCGGAGATTCCACCTCTTGGGCCCTCCTGCGTTCCCCGATGCAAACGCCACCACCACGCCCGCCTGAGACACACCCATGGTGGGGGAGAGGGGTACGAGGGAAGTAGCATGAGCCGTTGGCACTGCACACGTGTGTGCTAGATGTGCTGCTTCGATTTTGTGAGATTTTGGAATGAAACCAGTGTTGCGATTGAGCGTTGGTGATCGCTCAGTGAGACGGATTAGAGCGAGTTGAAGGCAGGGGAGCAAAGCTCATTCAATCACTCTCGTTCAATCACTCTCTCACTCATTCACTGAGAATCGTCAACAGGTTGTTCTGTGTCAGGGAGTACTCTTCTATTCATGCCCTTCCCTGGCCTCCTCCACTTCCCCCCACTCCACCCCCTCCCTCCACTCCCACTCTCTCTCCCTTGCTCTCTCCCTCTCCCACTCCCTGTCCCATTTCCCCTGCCCATACCACCACCCCTCCCCACCTTCCCCACCCAGGAAAATGCCGCCTCCCCCTCAGGCACACACAGCGTTGGCAATAAAGAAAGCAAGAACTCGCGAAGTGATTATAAAAAAATCACTTCTCAGTCGATTTCCAAGGTCACCCCTCCAGGAAAGACGCCACTCTCCCCCCCCGGGCACTCACAGCATTGGCATTAAGAAAAGCAACATCCTTGAAGTATGTATCCAGGGGATTCGAGCCCCCCAGGCTGAGGGACAGCACGTCGACGCCGTCAGCAACAGCGTGGTCGACAGCAGCGGTGATATCAGCGTCAGAGGCGTACATGCCGTAGCTGTCCGTCCAAAACACCTTGTACACCGCCAGCCGCGCTGCCGGCGCCATGCCGCTTGTCTCGCCTGTAGTCCAGGCCACCTTCGCTCCCACCGCTGCTCTGAACAGGTGCAACGGGGGGGGGACGGGTGGAGACATGTGGGTCGCTTCTGAGAATCCGCAAACGAACATGTCCTCTGGTGCGCAGCTCGCATTTTTGCGCCCACTGCTGCTCTGAACGCGTGCGGAGGAGAGGGGGGGAGGGGGGGGGGGAGGGAGGGAGGGAAGGGAGCCAGAGAGAGCGATACGTGCATGCGTGCACAGGTGAACGAGCAAGAAGGTTGGAGAGGCACACAAGGTACTGACTGGCGAACCTCTCCCCCTCTCCCCCCTCTCCCCCCTCGCTCCCCTCTTTCCCACTCTCCCCCGACGCCCTCTGTTCCGCCTTTTCCCCACACACCCTCCTTTCCCCCCTCTTCCCCTTCGCCCAGCCCCCTGCACGCACCCAGCGCACCACGTGCCGTGGCCCTCCGAGTCACGGGGCGAGTCATAGTCGTACGTGAAGTCAGGCCCGCTGTTGCTCTCCTGCTTGAACCCGCTGTACAGCTTGCGCGCGCCAATCACCTTGCCGTTGCAGCTGAAATCCGTTGACGTCTCGCACGTGCCCTGCCACGTTGCCGGCGTGCCGCTCAGCCCCTGCGGGAGCAACGGGGAGAGGGACGGGCGGAGAGGGTGGAGAGGGTGGAGCGGGAAGGGCGGAGGGGGGAGAGGGTGGAGAGGGTGGAGAGGGTGGGAAGGGAAGGGCGGAGGGGGGAGAGGGAAGGGCGGAGGGGGGAGAGGGAAGGGCGGAGGGGGGAGAGGGAAGGGCGGAGGGGGGAGAGGGAAGGGCGGAGGGGGGAGAGGGAAGGGCGGAGGGGGGAGAGGGAAGGGCGGAGAGGGGAGAGGGAAGGGCGGAGAGGGGAGAGGGAAGGGCGGAGGGGGGAGAAGGAAGGGTGGAGGGGGGAGAGGGAAGGGCGGAGGGAGGAGAGGGAAGGGCGGAGGGGGGAGAGGGAAGGGCGGAGGGGGGAGAGGGAAGGGCGGAGAGGGGAGAGGGAAGGGCGGAGGGGGGAGAAGGAAGGGCGGAGGGGGGAGAGGGAAGGGCGGAGGGGGGAGAGGGAAGGGCGGAGAGGGGAGAGGGAAGGGCGGAGGGGGGAGAAGGAAGGGCGGAGGGGGGAGAGGGAAGGGCGGAGGGGGGAGAGGGAAGGGCGGAGGGGGGAGAAGGAAGGGCGGAGGGGGGAGAGGGAAGGGCGGAGGGGGGAGAGGGAAGGGCGGAAGAGGAAGGGAGGGAAATTTGTGGGGCCACATTACAGGGACTGAACATGGTGACGCGAGTGAGAAGGGTGAGTGGGCGAGTGGTGCGTGTGTGGTTGGTTGGCTGCAACGGCAAGGCTCGAGGAGTGGATTCACTGGAGTGGGTTGTTATTGCAAACCCTTCGTCAACTATATGCTTCCGTAAGGCTGCTAAATGCTCAGTGCCTGCTCAGTGCCTGCTCAGTGCCTGCTCAGTGCCTGCCCCTTGTGGTTGTTGGTGATGGTACGCGTGCCTGCCTGTGCGTGTGTGCGCGCAAAAGGGCGACAATTATTGTAAGGAAAACACCTTTTCCTTACTGGGGTTTACTCAACCGACGTGCACGTGTGGGGAGAGGAGGGGGAAGTCCAGGAACAGAGGGTGGTGGCGGTGGCAGTGGTGCTCGTGAAACGCAATTAGCAAACAACGAGGCTCTCGCAGTGGTGGCAGTGGCAGCGGTGCTGACTGCATTGGCAGCGGTGGTGGCGCTTTAGTGGTGGCGGCACAATGAGGCACGGACCGTGTCATCAAACGAGCTGTGCTCAGGCCACACGCCCGAGTCTATCACCCCCACCACCACGTCCGCCCCCGCGCTGCTCTGCCCGCCCGCCGTCGCCCACAGCGAGTCCGGCAACCCCAGGAACACCGGCGAGTCAAACGTATACTGGCGGACAATCCCGCTCCTGCGCACGGCCGCTACTGCCGGGTGGCGCCTGACTCGCCACAGCTGCAGCGGCGAGAGGGCGGCGGCGAAGCCGTGGGAGGCGATGTGGTAGTGGTGCACGAGGGATGTGATGGGCACGCCTATGTCTGCCGCCACCTGCTGCTGCTGCCGCTGCAGCATCTGCCTGTACGCCTGCACGTGCGGCGCCTTGAGGTTCAACCGCGGCCGCTTGACGCCCCGAGATGTTCCCAGGGGGTTGGAGGCGGACGGTTGAGATGACGGCTGAGGGGAGGAGGAGGAGGAGAAGAACTGCAGCCGTCCGTTTCCTCCTGGTGATGCTGTTTCGGCTGATGAGTCTGTTGAACCTGCTACCGCACTCCTCACCGTCCCTGGTGCCCCAGCGGCGCTTCTGTTATCAGCCATGCCTGTGCTCGCACCCGCACCTGCCCCTGCCCCTGTCTCTGCCCCTGCCCCCTCCCCTGCGCCTACGCCCCCATCCGTCCCATTAACGGGCGGCCACCCCCACAAGTCCTCCGCGGGGCCCCCCACGAGCCCGTCAGGCGCGGGCGGAAGCTCCGCCTCGGGGGGATCGTCGGGGAAGGCGCTGTCGAGGTCGGGCCCCTCGTCCCTGGGCGCGGTGGCGGGGTATCCGGGGATCTGCCCGCGGTACGTCGCAAGGGGGAGCCCCGTCCGCAGCTCCACGATATACAGCTCCGCCTTGAGGGGGGCTGCGGAAGAAGGGGGTGGAGGTTGGGCGGAGGGGGGTTTGGGGGTTTGGGGGAAGGTGGGGGTTGTTGGAGGGGCCTGGGGAGTGGGGGCGGACGAGGGATACGTGCGTGTATACACATCAGCGGATGTTCAGGTGCTAGCAGATGACTGCGACTCAAGATACCTCGCTGGCCACAACACGCAACGACTGCTTAGAAGCACAAGCGTAACGGTTTAAGGAGAGGCGCGGGGACGGAGGGAGTTGGGGCCGAAAACGGGATTCGAAGAGCGCGCCGATTGCAACGACGCAAGGCGGGGCGTGAGGCGTGGCGTGAGGCAGGGCTGGAGACGGGGCTTGAGGCGGGGCGCGGGGCGGGGCGAGGGGAGGGGCGTGGGGCGGGGCGTGAGGCGGGGCGTGAGACGGGGCGTGAGACGGGGCATGAGACGGGGGCGGGACGTGAGACAGGAAGGAAAATCGTAATCAGGCTGTTCGGATGTAATGAAGCAAAGCGCGAAAGACGGGAATGCAGGCTGGCGGTGTAGGAACCACCGCGCGAGAAGCCGACTTCGCTCCGAAACCCGCCGCAGAAACAGTACGAGAAGCGGCAGCGAGAGTCGTTATAGGAGGGAAATGCGTCGGAGGGCTTCGCTGGCGATAGTTTGGAGTTGCAACTACCGCCGCGAGGGGAAGACGCTGACCTGCTAGCGAGTGGCCGTGGCTTGCGGTTGTCAGAACAAGGAGCAGCGCCACGAGGCCGTGCGTGACGTGCGAAAGAGACAGGCGAAGCGCTCGCGGCGATGCTGGAGCACAGGGCGTCGCGGCCATGAGAGGATTCGAACGTTGTTCGACGCGCGGAATACGGATTTCGGCACGGCAGTCGGCCGCGCGGCTGTCGGGATTGTCGGTGACTGTGAATGACCTGGCGGTGGTTGGTTAGATGCGCGTGTAACAGGTGCTACATTTCGGTAAGGAGGAAGGTGACTGGGGTGTAATGTCTCAAAAAGAGTATTGATAAAACGATTCGGAGTCCATCAGAGGATCGTGAACTAGAATGCTAAAGTTGCGAGCATGGATTGCGCCGCCACAAGAGCGCGAGCTGCGCTCCGCAGGCTGACGACGGGCCGCTTGTTGGTAGCTCGAGCTCAGTCTCCTGGCACTTGACAACTCTTCGGAAAGCAACGACTTGGGGACTCATAGAGGCAGTACTACAACGAATGCGTCTGTTGTGGAGGTCGCCTGAAATGGCGAAAATCCAACATATTGCTCCTCATCCTACGAACCTGCCTGGCTGGAATGAAATGAAACATATTCTTGCGCGGTGTCTTCAGACAACGGTTAAGGTTAAAGGAGGGGGGAAACCCCTCTGGGTCACACCTAGCTGTCGGTCGTAACCCGCCTCCCCATTTGTTTACACTCCTCGCTGGGTCAACGAGGTTGTTCTATCCACTCCCAGATGAGCACCTGTGTAGCCCCTTTTGGGGGCTGGCAGAACACGCCGCAGGGGGGATTTGATCCCGGGACCTCATCTTTCGGAAGTGAACCAGCTACTCACTGGGCCACTTCAGGATAAGGTGTCTTCAGACAACGGATAGGCGTTTTTCGTGCAAGAAATCGATTGACTCGGATTGGGTTTGGTTGGGTTGGAGGCCCGAGGGCGGGTCATACAGTACAGTCGCAAATTGCGGCTGTTGTATGTGTACAGTATCTCCATAGGAGGTGACGCTGGCCGCCACGTTCTGAGCCGCACCGAATGCCATTTTGTAACCTTGCGGCGTGAGGGGATCCTACGGTTGTTGAGGGAGGATTATACTCGTCAGTTGCCTGGTTGATGTTCACCGAATGTAAACAACTCAACAGATCCTTCATGTGATCGACATGCAGCGTGGTTAAAAAAATCTCCACATCAAAAACTAGAAGCACCGCGTCGTTGTTGAGGTGAAGCCAGTCTGGTTTTGCGTGTAGCAGCCTAAGCTATGCAGCGAGGTTTCGCACACCGCATACCGGAGCTTCGGTTTCGCCGAGTACACCACAGTAGTGCACTTTGGCATGCACTGATCAACATTGACCAAATTGGAGGGAAGTGACGACATTGCACAAACGAGTATGTGCAACTGTCTGACAAATATTCTTATTTGTTATAGTCTGTAGTGAGGTGCTCCTTAGTGAGTAGAACTCAATAGGGTTGACTTGTTTGCAATGCCAAGGCCTCTCAATCTCGACATTCTCTCTCGATGCCTCCTTCCTAGCCTATCTTAATATTGTCTGTTACGAGCACATAAGCAACTACTCCTGGGCAGGCGGAAAATGCACCGGATGGTATTTTCGCCTGATGGTATTTTCACCTAGCGGTGCCAACCTGGAACCGCATACTTGATTAGGTGCTTGCACATTCTCATCGAACAAAGTTCTTCATGAACAACATTCTCGTAGAACGTTCTCGTAGAACGTTCACGCACACGTCACTATGTTGCCTATAAGGTTCATGTTGTTTTTGTTGTAATCTATCAATTAATCAACAACTTTTTTATATTGTGTACCAACCCTGCTGCTGCATACCGAACATACTAGTACAGTGATGACTACCTAGCAAGAGCCAGCATGCAGGTGTATATATATAAATCACAGTACAAGCAGAGACTACAGCAAGTGCGGAAACGTAGGCACAAGGCCCAACAGAGTACAAAAGCGCTGATGATCACTAGACGGAAGTGCCTTGGTGAATATATCAGCAGTGTTGGCCCGAGTGGCCACGTGGCGAAGACGAAGCTGGCCTCGCTGCTGCAACTCTCGAGCCAGGAAGTAACGCAGAGCAATGTGCTTCGTTCTATGCTCCTCACACAAGGCAATGGCCGCCTTGTTGTCAACGTACAGCACTGGAGGAGAACGAGGCCGCTCACCCAAGTCAGTCAGCAGGTAGGTGAGCCAGCGTAGCTCCTGTGCAGCCATGGCGGTGGCGTAGATCTCAGCCTCACAACTGGAGCTGAGAACAGAAGACGAGCGTGTAGACCGCCAAGAAACAGAGCCAGAGCCAAGGCTGAAGGTGTAACCCTGTGACGACCGCTGTGTAGTCTGGTCGTCAACCCAAGACGCGTCTGAGTGCCCAGTGAGGACCACCTCACTCCGTCCTCCAAGCACGAGCCCCATGCCTGATGTACTGCACAAGTAGCGCAGTACCCTCTTAGCAGCAGCCATGTGCTTTGTTCGGTGCCTACCAGGAGCCACGTAGCGAGCGAGAAGGCCAAGAGGGTACGCAAGGTCAGGACGAGTGCAGGTCATCAGGTACTGTCAGAATCTAGAATAGAACGAGAATGGATGAACTAGCAGGAAGGTGGGTACAAGTATGAAACCCTAAGTTTGTGTACCCTCTAAGGCTAAACCCACTATAGCCTACACAATATAAACATACAATGTTTGACACACCCCCATAGGCAAAGTGGGTGACAACCAGAGGGTCACAAGACCAGTCAAAGCAAAGCAAAGCAAAACAGGCTCAGGGTGGATCTCAAGGATACCACACAAATTCCGAGCACAAGCAAGCGGTCACAAGACCAGTTCACATGCAGTTTGATAATATAGCAAGAGATACAGTGATCGCAACCTAGCAAGTGTAAGCATGCAGGTATATATATAAAGATCACAGTACAAACAGAGTCAAGAAGT